TGAAAAACACTTTTTTTTTTTTACTGCATTTAAGTATCAGATTGAAAGAAGTAAAGAATTACAAGAAAAATAAAAATTTTAATTGACAACACTGTTTGTATTTGGCAAAATAATTTACAAAATTATAACAGCTAACAACAATCTTCTGTAAATTATTTGGTGTTTGGGTTTAGAGGCATTATGCCAAATTTGGTATTTAAAGCCTGCAGTATTTTATTTTTTTTGCTTTCTTGAGAATTTGGCTACTATAGTGTTTTTATTTTTTATTTAATACTCAGTTTAAAGGGACAAAAGTTTAGAGGGACAAAAATGTAAAAAAAAAAAAAATAAATAAAAAAGATAGATTTTGCTGTGTGATACCTTCAAAATGACCTTGTCTCACAAATGTTTAGCTCGGGTCCCTCGCCTTAAATATTGTGGTGCCTCCTGCAGACAATATTGCTCGGAGAACCCTGAGGTGTCAGCAAGGGCCGGATCCCAGACAGAGGGGTGTAATTAAAACAGGAGTAAAGATTTTTGTGTGTTTCTGTTTTTTTGGAGTCAAGCTGATCTGTTTTGTGGCAAATAATGGCCACTGAATGTTTGATGATTTTGTCAGCGCAGCCACATTTAAGGATCCCTGCAAATTAACATTTTGCTGTGCTTCATAATTAAACAGCCAGGGCGACTAATTAAGAGCCACATGGCAAATTACATCAGATCCACTCTTCAAAGTGACAAAGCCATGCACCTCTAAACCACTGTTCAAGATTAGGATAGTTTCTGCTTTGCAAGACGGTAAACAGGAAGTGGAAAACCATTTCCAGGATTCCTTTTTTAAGAATGACTTTCAAACTTATATTGTGTGTGCCAAACTGCTCTGCTGGACATAAGAGTGTCAAGGACACTCGTTGTTCAGGTCACAGGGATCACACCTGGAATCATCCGGTTTACAGGATAGTCTCTCCCATCACTGGGCCAGCCTGAGTGAGCCTTTATTTACAGTAACACACAGACCTGTATTATGGATCACGGTTGCTTTGGAAATTTCCCAAATACAGTCCTCTAAAATGTCTAACCCAGCCAAAGCTGGTACCTTTTTAATCAGAATACTTCATTAAATGCATTATAAGCTGTAACTAATGGCTGTATTAATGGTTAACAATAAGAGTATGGTTTATTACAAAGAAGTACCCAAAAACTAAAATTAATATTCTATACCAGTGATGTGTGATAGTGCTAATGGGTTCTACAACCATTTTACACCTCTGTCCTAGTGTGAAAGGAGCCTCCCAATCAAGGCCAGCTAATGCCATGTGAGGAAATGCAGTATTAATATGCTACACAGGCCTATAGAGCAGAATAAGCACCCTTTGGTTTCCCATTGAAAGACTGAGCAGGTTGGGTCTTGCGTGTGTTGCTGAGGAGCACACATTAGTAATCCTGCCAGCACACTTTTAAACTGGGTCAGTACCAAACACATTTGGGTGTGTTACCAGCATCTTGTAGCACTTCTTTAGTAAACCAAACTGTGTACAAAACACAATGGGAAAACATAGCCTGCTGTGCTAGTGGAACTACTTCAAATAACCATTGGAAAATGGAAGAAAAACATATAAGGGAGAGGAAGGGAGAGATGTGTTTTGACAGACCTGTCACAGTGGTTGCACTTAAAAGGCTTGGCGCCGGTGTGTTTGCGGTAGTGCCTCGTCAGCTCGTCGCTCCGGGCGAATCGCCACTCGCAGCCCTCCCACGAGCACTTGTAAGGCTTCTCACCTGAGGGATGAAAAAAAACAAAAAACATGCATAAGCACCTGTTTCATCCCTCATCCACGAATCACACGCTTATTTGTCTGCACCCTTCTGTGGTCATGCAAAAAAAAAAAACCTGGAATCCAAATATTTGGTGCCTTCAAGCTGATGTTTGATATGTGTTGCAAATTTGAGGCCTACATGCAGGGATTCTCCTTTAAAGATTATATCCTTTATATTGTGATTCAATTTGAGTTTGACTCTTTTTCCCTATGCCTCACTTCATTCCCCCCTTTTTTAGAGGAGAGTAAGGCAATGTTTAACACTGAGATGGAGAAGCTCCCACTGGTCTTCAATTCTGCTGAACACGCAGAAGAGAAGTAGAGGGTAGAGAGAAGTGGAGCGAGAGAAGAAGTAAAGAGGGAGAGGATGAGGGAGGGAGGGGGTGGATTAGAGGCAAGGTGGATGAGAGAGTGAGAAGAGGAGGTGAGATGAGACCAGGAGAGGGAAAGTGGAGTAGGAGAGAAGTGCTGCAGAAGTGGATTAAGGCAGAGGAGGCTGCAGATATGCCGGCAGGGGAGGGGGGTGGTGATAATTAGGCCAGTCACAAGGCATAATGGCAAGGAACCGACAATCTGCCAGCTGCGTCCAGCTCCGAAGATGTCACCTGCATCAGTCACATCCCATCTGGACCAGTGGCTCGTGGTTGAATACAGTCACACTGACACACTGACCAGCTCTGCATGAGTGGCTTCGGCACAAAAACGGACTTAATTTGTTGAATGTGATTATCAAAGGGGAGACAATCAATGGATCATGTGCTTTGTGAAGACAAGGTTGATTGAGAGGAGAACTTGTATAAAGACAGTATTTGTACCAGCTGCTGTAAAAATTCAATGATTGTGCACAGATTTGGTCATGGGGCAGAAGCTAAAAAAATCAATAAGGTATACAGTACCTCAGTATCTGTGGTGATTTATATTTTTTCGGTGCGTTATATGCCACTAGCCTGATCTGCAATTTCATGGCAAAGTTATCCTAGAATGCAAAGCTGAATGGCACAAGCCAAGGCAAATGAGCAGAAACATTACACATCTCTGGACATATGACCTGCTCAAGAAGGCTTTATGCAAATATAGCAGCCGTGCTACAGTGCACTTCATTAACAGGAAACATGTATGGTTTGATGGTAAGAAACAGAAGTGCATCAGGTTACAGTTGTAATATGGTGATAAATGAAACCTCCAGTCATGAAATGACAAAAAAACCTCACTAATGAATACAGATTGATAACACTTATTCAATAAAGATTCATTTGGATGTTTTTTCTTTACTGCATCATCTCAGTACCAATTACATTTTGTTCTGACACCTAAAAAAACTCTACTATGATGTATGAAATTAATTTATTTCAGATAAAATAAGATTTATGGCAGGTAAACACTGCTTTTGGTTTAGAGATCCAGAAATTAGCTTTGTCCCCTCCTGTCCATCCATGCATGTCCCCATTGTGGTCATGTATCCCTTCATACTCCCTCACTTCCCAGAAACACCCAGAGCAGCAGGTCTGGGCCATCCCGCTCTGGCCAATGAAATTCCCGGGAGGCAGGGATGCCTGAAAGTGCTGCCTAGCAACGGGAGCAAGGGGGTGGGGTGAATGTGTGTGTGTGTGTGTGAGAGAAGGGGGG